TACTCAATATGATGTCCTTCTATCATCCCACGACTAAGGACAGTTTAAAAGTAATATAGACTATCAAACAAACACATTAACTATCGGTCCAATTTTAATCAAATTTAAATACTTCAATCCCAAAATAACAAAAATCCCGGTGTCCATTTCTGACGGTGATGTTTTACTTCCCTTGATACTTAATAATAATCACAAAATTGTTATTCCCCAATCAATTCATACCGCTTTTAACGCCTATGTATCTGTCCCTTATATTGATGAGAATTTTCATAACATTATCCCTGTTCAACCCTTACATAATTTTGATATCGGCAATATTTCCCAAGAAAAAACTTCATTAAATGTAAATAATTTAAAACTCGATCACCTTAATTCCGAAGAAAAAGAAAAAATTATAAAACTATGTAAAGATTTTTCGGGAATCTTTTATAATGAAAACCAATTGCTTTCGGCAACTACGACAATTAAGCATAAAATCCCCACGACCGATGACATACCGATTTACTCAAAAACTTTCAGACACCCCCCGGTAATACAAGAAGAAATTTCTTCTCAAATTCAAAAACTACTCGATAATGAAATAATTCGACCTTCCATATCACCATATTCCAGTCCAGTTTGGATTGTCCCCAAAAAATTAGATGCTTCAGGCACAAAGAAATATAGACTGGTAATAGACTATCGAACTTTAAATTCAAAAACTACAGAAGACAAATATCCCTTACCCCGAATAGATGAAATTCTTGACAACCTAGGTCGATGCACATACTTTTCTTGCCTAGACCTTGCACAAGGTTTCCACCAAATTCCGATGTCTGAAGAATCGATTAGCAAAACTGCTTTCTCCGTGCCAAATGGTCATTTCGAGTATCTCCGAATGCCGTTCGGACTCAAAAATGCCCCGGCAACGTTTCAGAGAATGATGGACGAAATTCTAAAATCTCATATTTACAAACGATGCTTTGTATATATACGATGTCATCGTCTTCTCTCGATCTCTTCAAGAACATATTAATGACCTTAAATTAATTTTCTCTTGTTTAAAATCCGCAAATTTAAAGGTACAACTCGACAAAAGCGAGTTTCTTTCAAAAAAAGTTGAATTTTTAGGACACATTGTAACTGATAAAGGCCTTCAGCCAAATCCAAAGCTATTGTAAATTTTCCCATACCTAAATCTATTAAAGAAATTAAATCTTTTCTTGGTTTAATAGGCTACTGAGCCATTCCACGCGTAACGGATAGGACAGTTGCCGTGTTTTTATTTACAAAATAATATTGTTCTATTATATTACCAATGTCAAATTTTTATAAATAGTTCTAAAGTAAAGCTGTTTAACAAGGTTTTTATTTGTCAAAATTAGGTATCGTGGTTGACTGTTTAATTCCTTAAAAACTAATAATTTAAAGCGTAACGGACGGGACTTTGTAATAGTCCCGTCCGTTACGCTTTAAATTATTAATTTTTAAGGAATTAAACAGTCAATCACGATACCTAATTTTTCCAAATAAAAACCTTGTTAAACAGCTTTTGTTTAGAACTATTTATAAAAATTTGACATTGGTAATATAATAGAACAATATTATTTTGTAAATAAAAACACGACAACTGTCCTATCCGTTAAGCGTGGAATGGCCCTACTACAGACGTTTTATTCCAAATTTTGCAAAAATTGTCTATCCAATTAATAAATGTACAAGAAAAGGAGAAAAAATCAATATTCATGATCCGCGTTATATTTCTGCTTTTGAGCAGTGCAAAAACCTAATAACCCATTCAATCCTACAATATCCCGATTTTAACAAAACATTCACCTTGACAACCGACGCATCCGATATTGCCATAGGTTCAGTTTTATCCCAAGAGTCAAAACCAGTTGCTTTTTATTCCCGAACACTAAATTCTGCAGAACGAAACTATTCCACGATTGAAAAGGAACTACTAGCTATAGTTGCCTCGACAAAATTTTTTCGGCCCTACCTTTTTGGACAAAAATTTAATATCGAAACCGATCATAACCCCCTCGTTTGGCTCAGTAGTTTAAAGACACCCAATTCCCGTTTAATTCAATGGAAAATAAAATTAGACGAATTTGACTACAACATTTTCTATAAAAAAGGTAAGGAAAATATTGTCGCTGACGTACTCTCTCGTGTTGAGATTAACGTTCACAATTCTGACTCAGATAATCAATCACTAATGGTTAAAGTAGATCTTGAAGAAATTGTCACTGTCCATGCCCCTGCCGATTATGATCCCCAAGCACCTAAATCTGTAATTTCCGGAAAATCTACCGTCCACTCTCAAAAAGAAAATATTTCCTGTACTTTACCCATTTCGGAGGAATGTATAAACAAATTTCAAAACCAAATTTTTGTACGTATAGGAACATTACAGTCTCCTTCAGTCACTAATCGATTTAATAAAAATATTCATTTAATTACTCTTGTTTCAAATAATTTAGAAAAACCTTTTTCATCAACATTAAAACATATCATAGACCCTCAAAAGACGTACTATATTTATCTTTATGACAGAGAACTACGTCCTATTCTTGAAAACATTCTTTCATCTTTATTTAATAAAACACTAAAAATTATTCTTTGTCAGTCTAGTTCAAGATGTTCCAGAAATTGAAAATCAATCGGAAATTGTTAATGACTATCACAATGCTAATCATAACGGAATCAACGAAACGTACGAACATTTGCGTAGAAAATATTACTGGCCAAATATGAAAAATTTAATATCTTCAATAATAAATAAATGTGAAATCTGTTTAACATCCAAATACGAAAGAAATCCTACTTCCTCCTCTCCCTTTTAAAACATTGACATATTTAGCTATTTGAAACATAAATTTTTGACAATCATTGACCCCTTTACAAAATACGCCCAAGCCTATCACGTAGAAAATACAACTTCAATCCATATCCTCTCCAAATTAAGACACTATTTCGCACACCACAATTTTCCCAAAAATTTTGTTTTCGATCAAGGTCCCGAGTTTAAAAATAAAGTAGTTAACGAATTTTTCAATCTACATCAAATTAACATTCACTATACATCCAGATCTAACTCCTCATCCAACTCCCCTATCGAACGCCTACATTCCACCATAATCGAAAAATTACTTGTTTTAGAACCCTCTGAAACAAATATTATAGAACGTATGATATCTGCCATTACTATTTACAACCAATCCATACATTCAGCTACAGGTTTTTCTCCATTTTCCCTAATATACGGACCATAAGAACATGAGACACTGTTTGACAATAATCTGACAATTTATGAAAAATATAATCAAGACAGAAAAAACGAAATTCTGCCATTTATAAAACATGTTTACACAAAGCAAAAAACAAAAGCCGATAAAAATTAATAAACTTATTTCAAATGCACAACATATTCAAGAAAGATTTCATTTAATAATTGACAATTTTAATAGTAACAATGAACAACTGGAAAAATATTTACGCAATATACAAAATGATTTAGGAATTCATGAAGCACAAATTAATATCGCTAATATCGAACACGTAAATGATTTTTTATTAATGCTTTTATGTACAATAACATTTTCAAAATTAAATTTAACAAATTTAGAACTATTTTCTGCCGATGAAATTACAAGATTAGAAATAGAATTAGAAAAATTTTACGATACCAATCAAATTGTCTCAACTAATCTGCTTGAACACTGTCAAACTATTCTAATTCACACTAACTATAAAATTATATTAATTTTGAAAATTTCAATCCTTAAAGTCAAATCCTACCCGCTAATCAAAGTTTTCCCAATACCTAATGAAGACAAAACCCTTATCCTACCACCAACTTCATGGAACTCCCACGATTGGTTCGAGATCTGTCAGCAGATTTCAATAAGACATTTTTTCTGCAATAAGAAAATCACCAGCAACTGTTCCATAACGAATCCTCACCGATGCCCAACAGCTAAAGCCGAATCCGAGATTGAATACGATTTACCAGATGGAAAAATAGTGTACTCCCCTACGAAGACATTCCGGTGTAACCAATCCATAACAGTCGATTGCTACACGATCCAATGTACCGATAAAGAAGAAGAATTCACACATGAATTTTACACACACACAATTTGCCTCCGGCAAGAAACAAACTTATTTTACAGAAAATTGACATCCCGACCGGATTCGACATAACACCAATCCAACCCCTTCATTTGCACCCAGTTACCACCTACATCAGTTGGAGCATATCGACATCATGTCTTCTTTTTATTTTGGCCTTCATCTACATTATGGTTAAGAAAAAGAAGAGGATCCACCACTTTCTAAATCGCCCCAGAGTTACAAGAGAAACCCTAGAGCTCTTTCTTAAGGAGGGAGGTGTTACGGACGCCGACCCTGCAGCCGGTACAGCGACTTAAGAATTAAAGTTAAAGGAAATATCATATAATATTAAACAAAATCAAGCTACATCCGTTAAGACATAAAAACCCGTGTAATTTACTTTTCGCAATTCTGCAAAATAATCATTTTGTGCTTTTTCCCTTTTTATAAAATTTATTTTTGTTCAGTGTTGATTGAATCGTCAAATCATTAACTTGTTAACTTCTTCTTCAATAAATATTTGGTGTTCATAAAAACTGTGTTTTCATCCAAAATATTTAACTCGCGAGGACCTTACGTAGGTAATCCTCCGGTCACCGGAGTCCGGTGTATCTTAGTACTTACGTTATAATCTGTCATAAAACCAGAATAATGGGACTTATTTATGCAATAATTACATTTTTATAAATGGCTTCTATGAAAACAATGATTTTGATTATTGAACTAAATAATACAGCGCATCAGCCACCGTATCAATGTTGCCAAATTTACGGTTTTACTAGCTTGTTACTAAAAGTTGTAATTCTGTCTAATAATCCTAGATATAGGATAAGAAAATATTGCTCGTGTTACTTTTAATTATTAGTTCTAGTTTTCCAATTTCAATTTATTATATTCATTAGGTTATGGGCCCAGTCAAAAGTGAAAATTAACGATTTGTCAGTTAACAGCAAAACTGGAATTCCAACGTTCAACGGCTTGAATTTTAACAACGGGCGGTTTCGTGATAAAATTTCCCTGGATGAAAAGGGCTTGGGAAAATTCATCGAACAAAAATTGGATGTTTTGCTATTGGCTGCTGTTACAGCTGAGGAAAAAGCAAAAATCTAGTTGGAGGAAAAGAAATGCAAAAACATTATCGTTCAAACGGTTCAATCTTTACAATATCTCTGCCCCTGCTGATTTTAATTCTCTAACCTTTTTATCAAATTCGAGAAGATGATCGCGCATATCGTCAGTTTCATCGTAGTTCATCGTAAGCAATTGACGCCTCAAAAAGAATTGGCTTGAAATACTTTTTCGTTTATATATGTTCGCTAAACAGTCAATCATATCCTTTGCAGTCGATTTTCTTTTAATATTTTCCAATTGTAAATCATGAGATTTGCTAATTACAATGCCGAAAGCATTTTATGGTTTGGTTGCAGCAATTGAAACAATGGATCAAGACAAAATTACATTGGATTTTGTAAAATATCGTTTGTTGAAGGAACACAACAGGAGGAATTTAATTTCTTCCAGCGGTAAAACCTAATCTGTTGCAATGAATGCAAACATAACCTGCTACGGCTGTGGGCAAGTGGGCCACAAACGGTCACAATGTAACAAAAGGAACTTGAAGGGCAAGAAAATCCTTACGAGGAAGTACGATAAAAATAACAGCGCGAATACTACCGAATCAGAGGAATATGTGGTCAGCATGAGGGCGTTTGTTGAATTTGCGAATAAAGCAAGTATTGTAAAAAATATTAAAGGGAATTCTGGTGTGACTGAGCACATGGCTTAAAACAAAACTTTTTTTAATGAACTAAGGGACATCGAAGAAGTAAATATTTCGGTTGCCAAGAGGAATGCAGGTCTATGCGCGAAGCAAAGAGGAGATATTCTATTAAAAACCTTATACAATGGTGATTGTGAAACAAAAGTTATTAAAAATGTGCTTTTTGTAAAGAATTTGAAATGTAATCCAATATCAATTCGCAGTTTAACCAAAAGAGGATATTAAATAGTTTTTAAGATTTTGCACAGGTATACTTAAAAAATGATCTTACATTTTTTGCCCACCTGTCAGGAAATCTGTACGAAGTTGATTTTCAAATCGATCGCAATGAGTTTGCTGGATTGACTGGTGAGAATAATTCAAGGCAAAAGTTTCGGCATTTTCGACTAGGTTATTTGAATAATATAGATATGAAGAAATTAGTCGATAAAAATATGGCAAATGGTATTAAACAATTAAAGGTAGATGTGAAGGATACATTTTGCGAATCTTGTATTCTTGGAAAGCTGTCGCGATTGCCATTTCCACAGAAGAGAGAAGCACGATGAAATCGAACTCTTGAAATGATTGACAGTGATATTTGTGGACCAATGTCCATGTCATGAAGGTTCCAAATATTTGCATCGAACGACAAACTGAAGTATTTAACAAATTCAAGGAATATATTGCGGTGGCGGAAACCCTTCACGCATGTAAGGTTGCCAAATTGAATATGTTTTAAAGGAATTCAAGTATTTCTTCAGTGAAAGAGGTATCAGGGTTCCCACCAACAATATAATTTTAATTTCCATGACTTCCATGACCAGTAAATATGTTTTTCCATGACCAACAAATTTGACAGGGGAGGGGGGGTTAACTGAGCCATGTTGATAAAGATTTTTTTTATTAAAATAAACAAAATAAAAATTCTAAAAAAAAAACAAAAAATCACAGCATAAAACAGTCTACTAAATCTTATTTATAAATTTTTTTTCAAAAGTTTGATTCTTGTTTCAATTGACTCCAATTCCGTTTTTTTCAATAGATCCAATTTAAGTTTTTTAAGTTCCAACTCCTTTATTTCCATTTCTATCTTTCTCTTTTCACCCTGTCTAGCATTTTTCTCCCTTTCCTCAGTCCTCTCTTTCTCCAAATACTCTTTATATTTTTGATTTGCCTGTTTATAGAGTTTGATCATATTGTCTGTTACAATGATGTTTTCAGCACCACCACAAAGGACAATATTATCATAAATAGTTCTTTGGGCAATTAGTGAATTATCTTTTAAATTTTCGATTAGCATTTGCTTGTTAAACGAAAAACCCGATTCGACTGCAGCATTTCCATTAGAAAATATTAATAAAATTCTTATAACTTTTAAAAGATCTGCATAATTTTCTCGGCACAGGTCTTCATAAAAATGGTCTAGCCTTTGCTTTTTGTAGGATTTGAAAAGATCCTCCTTTAAACTTATCATTGCGTTAAATTGTTTCTTGGCGTTTTCCGCAATTTCACCACTGATTATGTTTTTATCATTTAAAATTTCCAAACAAGTTTGCATCCTTTTTTCGGCGATTGTTTTACTTGATGAAATAATATTGGGATCCAAGCAAGATAATCCCTTAACCATTCTATGATTAAGTCCACACCGTTCAAGTATTTTAGAAACCGTTGAAATTAGGAACTTTTGGCATTCCTGAAGAAAAAGCAATTTTTCCTTTTCGGGAACCTTCACTTCGTTCAACAATTTACTAGCTCTGAATCCAATATTAATTTTGTCGTATGCTAAAAAAATATCTTTACTTTTAAAATTAATTTTATAAAGGTCCGATGAATCTTTAGGAATAGTCGTTTTTTTAATAAATTTTTGTAGCAAACAGTTCAATAATATGTAAAGCTCATTAAAAAGAAAAGGTGCCAGAGGCTCATTGCTTTGAAATTTTGTTAAAAACGGTTCCATATCTGAGCATATTGTAGAAAAAAAAGCAATTTTAGTTGGCAACAGTGGGTCTTTAAGACCATTTTTTACATTTTTCGAGGACGTAGTGTGAGGAAAGATAATCGAAGGGTTTTCTACATACTTTTTTAAATCTTTATAAATCATTAAAGCTCGATTTGCTGCTTTAGATCCTTCAACCCACCTGGTATGACAAAATTTTAGTGGAAAAACATTGGAATTTGTAATGCCTAAAATATCAATTATGATCAATGTTTAAACCTATTGTATATATATTTTTACTATTACCTGTAAAATCAGACCTTCGCGAAGGAGAATCCTTAAAAAGCCAGTATATTCCGTATAAAAATGAATGTAAATTCCACCCAGCCGCTTTATGACCTGTTTGTATTGACCCATGTACAACATGCAAACCGCAGGTGCCAAGATCTATTAATTTATTATCTTCGTTTAAGTATTCTTTTAATAATCTTAAAAATTTTATATTGACATTTGGTCCATCCATTGATACTTGAATTAAATTTTCCATATTAAGTTTTGAGCTACCTTTAAAGAAAGATTTTTTTCTTTTAAGATTGCTTTAAAAACTTGTTACCATACCTTTGAGAAAATGATGCAAAATATTTTCAGAGGTTGCCCTACCTTCAATGAACACGGAAGTCAAATATCTAGACTCAACTTCTTTTTTAGATGGGTTATAAAATCTAATTACCAAATCCATTTGCCCCTTTTGAGAAACCTTATTTAGGGATTCATCGAAACATAATACGAAGGGCGTGGTTTTTTTAATATTTTCATGCAAATGTTCTTGAAAATACGGTGCTAATCCAAAAACACAGGAATAGGATAGCTTTGTCGAACCCAGTTGAATGTTTTGAGCTGTGGTTGAATCTTCAAACATTTTCTTTAAGACAGAAATACTTTTGTTTACACTATTCATGGAAAAATGGTTTTCTATTACATGAAGGCACCATAATATTTCCGCTTCTATCGTTTTTCTTCTTATAAAGAAATTATTTGCTGGTCTTTTATTTATATTTTTTTCATCACTGGATATGTTATCAGAAATTTCTTCTATGACTGGATTACTATGGATTGCACTTAGATTGTTGCTGGGTTCATCATCGATCACAATACTGACTAGACTTGTATCTGATTTACTATCATTTACTTTAGAAAAATCAATTCTTTTATTTTGTTCTATCAATCTTGCGAAATTTTTGTGTTTTGGGGTTCCAACGTGGCTATCTATGGCTGCTTTGCCCATATTGCTTAAACTACAAGTTTTTTTACAAACTTTACAATAAAAGCGACAAGGGTTGTTTGTAACTGGAGCTATGACATTATACAAACTGGGATTTATTTTGCTGTCTATCCAATCTAGTTGGAAGTATGTTTTTTTATTGGGCATATTTATCTAAAAATGCAAAATTCATGTTTAAACTCTAACATTTTTCACTCTATAATACTTACTTATTAAGATATTACGCACAACATTAACTCCAGAACAGTGTTTACATTTTTAAGAAAAATGCGCGCTAAATAACATACACACGCCAAAACTGACAGTTAAAGTTAGAGATCCACTTTACCATTTGTGCGCCAGAATTGATGATTTTTCCCGCGTCCATTTAATACGACCAATAGGAGCGAGGCCTATATTTTTTAACTCCCTCCTATTGGTCGTATTAAAACGACGCGGGAAAAATCATCAACTCCAGCGCATAAATGGTACCTAATGGTGGGAGTAAAAAAGTAAAAATCTCTCATTAAAAACTCCGAACCTAGTGTTTTCAGAAAATAGGTTCAACAATTTTATCGAAAACAACTACAGATAAAAATGAGTAAAAATATTATTTGTAAAAAAAATCAAGACCCTTTAGTGAAAATCATGACTTTTGGTAATTTTTAACCAAAATCCATGACTTCCATGCTTAAAATTTGTATCCATGACTTTATCATGACTTCCAGGATTTCCAGGTTGAGTGGGAACCCTGGGTATTCAATTGGATTATACAGTTGCGTATAATCCTGAAATAAACTCGGTGGCTCAGCGGTTGAATAGAACACTAGTAGAAAAGTGCAGAACAATGTTAACTGGAAGTAATTTAAATAAAAATTTTGGTCAGACACTATTTATACGGCCAGTGCATATGGTGAACAATTTGAAGATAAAATACCGGCAGAAATATGGTTTGGTAAAAAACATGTCGAATCTTAAAATATTTGGTTCAGTGTGCTATAATTACATTCCTCTGGAAAAACGTTCGAAGCTTGACGAAAAATCAACCAGATGCATCATGTTTTAGCTCTGGGACATTAAAGCAAACAAATTGATTGTTGTTCGGAAGGTGGTTTTTAATGAAGCCTCTGTGATGCATCAGCATCAGGTCATCGGTAAGTAGGATTCAGAGGCGGACTTACCACGATGTGTATTCGGAGTACATAGATGGTAATATCGATAAATACAAGGGAAGGCTTGTTGCAAGGGGTTTTTTACAAATCATTGGTTTTTATTATAATGAAACGTATGCTCCCGTAGCAAAACTAACAACGCTTCGCGTTTTATTGTCAGTTACAAGGCAGAAAAACTTGTTTATTTAACAAATGGACGTGAATAGTGCCTTCTTGAATGGAGAACTTTTAGAAGAAATTTACATGGAGTTGCCTGAGGGATTCAAGAACGAAGTAGGCAAATTGAACAAATCATTGTACGGTTTGAAACAATCATCACGAGCATGGAACAAACGATTTAACCAATTTATGATGAAATTAAATTTTAAGCGTTGTATATCTAAATATTGTCCTCATATATGCAAAAAGAAGAGAGACTTTCTGCTATATTGTATTGTACGTTGATGATTTGTTGATTGTTTCCACAGAGACTCAAGATTATAAAGAATTTGCTGCAAAAAGATAGATATTGAAAATGTTGATACTTTTCTTAGAATACATATAGATCGCAACATTGGAAAAGGTACAACATTTATAAGTCAGTCTCAATCAACACTGAACAAAAAAGCACAAAATGATTATTTTGCAGAATTGCGAAAAGTAAATTACACGGGTTTTTATGTCTTAACGGATGTAGCTTGATTTTGTTTAATATTATATATTTCCTTTAACTTTAATTCTTAGGTCGCTGTACCGGCTGCAGGGTCTGCGTCCATAACACGCGTTTGCTCACCTTCAAACGTCAGCTGGTTCCTCAGTGCGTGTGTTTTGATTTCGTCTGATGTCTCATACTTTGGGAAAATGGACCCAATATTAATGAATTTAGCTCGTCTGCTAATTTTACGGCTTATGCCATTGGCTGGCCATGTCACGTGATATCGGCTTCAACGCGCGCGATCTGTTTACGGCGTAAAGTTTTTTCCCCGGATAAAAACCAAGACGCGTCAAACTGGCTGAGATTTGGCGCACGCGTCCTTTTAACGCACGCGAGGTCACTTATAAACGATCCCATTGCCCACCATGAGTTAAATCAGTCGCGCGCGTTGGCTAGCTCGCGTAAACGCGACCTCCACGCGAGTGACTCGTAAACCCGCCATAAGTTAACATTAAGATGATGATGTTAATTTTTATTCATCCTGCGCAGGTTTGCGGCGCAATTTTTAAATAAACCGTGTCAGTAATGCCAACATACCCGAAAATAAAATGAAACTTACTGCTGAAAGATTGATTTTTTATTCAATGTTTGTATTCTTGGGTTTATTGTTTGACGTGGAGTTTATAGTTTTCATTCATTTTACCTAACAGATGCTAAAACGGGATTAAAACAAAATTCAAACAAACCAAAAATGTCAGATGTCAAAATTACTTTAACTTATACGCATGCTTAATTTATCACTAATTTTGCTGCTTAAAATACCCATCTTATGCTGGATTTATGCAGCACAAATTAACATTAAGTTAACATTAAAATTAAGATTAACATTATCATTAAGAAGTTAAATTAACGTAATCCATTGGAAGCTTTTATGCAACACATTAACATTAACTTTAACATTAAGGGATGGCCAACTTTTATCTTCTTAATGATGATGTTAATTTTTATTCCTCCTGCGCAGGTTTGCGGGGCAATTTTTAAATAAACCATGTCAGTAATGCCAACATACCCGAAAATAAAATGAAACTTACTGCTGAATGATTGATTGTATTCTTTGGTTTATTGTTTGACGTGGAGTTTATAGTTTTCATTCATTTTACCTAACATATGCTAAAACGGGATTAAAACAAAATTCAAACAAACCAAACATGTCAGATGTCAAAATTACTTATACGCATGGTATGCAGAATACGCAGAATAAGGTAACCCTGGCTGTTATTAACAGGCAATCGGTCATTTTTTTGTGTTTGTTTCTTAATGTGTATAAAAACAAAATAGCTGATATAATTCAATTTAAATAGCGATGCTTAGACAACCGAGTTTCAATCTCAACATTACAATACGAATTATTTTAAAATACTAAACCAGGATAAAACTTGACAACAATCTTGGTTAGTTAATTGCAATGATTTAAATACAATTTATATCTTACCTTTTGTAGTTTATACACAAAATAAAGTCTGCAATTGACTCGAATTAAAATAAACATCTTTTCATTTCAATATTCATCCGCCTATCTCAAATCAACAACCCCGTTACTAAGTAAGTTCGACAATAGTCACCCAGTTAAAGCATAATATGAACTTCATAGCCATCCAAAAAATACATGCCTGGTTATAATTATCGTATACTTTATTTATTATTATAAAATATATTATATATTTTTCAAACAAACACTTATTTTGTAATTGTTATAATTATAATATTAATATGAAAAAATACTAAACACACTTTTGGTAACCACTGTCATCCTAGTAGTCAGCCACCACCTTTTACGCTTGTTCTAATAAAGGACAGAATGTACATTTAGTTAAGACACAGTTAATATTTTCTGGCTTTGCTTGCCACTCTCTCACAGTCTTTTTCCAGTTGGTTTTCAAAGGCTTAAACACGCTAACATCTGCAGGTTGTATGATGTGTGTTGTATTTGGAGGAAGGGCATATAAAATGATGCCATTTTCATTAAAAAAACTGCTGAAATCCAAACACAAATGTGATTTATGACCATCGACGAGAAGTAATACCGGCCTAATAAGGTTATTTTTATCCAGCCATTTATTAAGTCGATTGGCTATGTACTCATAAAATGTATCACTTTTCATCCAACCTCTTTCAGATCGACCTAAAAACCAACTGGATGGCACACTATTCACTATTGCTTTGTTGGGTCGAATAAATGGGGAAAAAACCATTGGGGTTAGAGTCTGCCAAAAAAAAACAGAAGAACCGTTAGAGTTTTTTTTTCACTTCCTTTCTTGATTTCGTAAATATTCTTGTATCCTTTTGGTGTCAGAACTTTTGCTAATTTGGGGCACATTGGAAAGCTGGTTTCGTCTCCGTTAAAAAGGCGAGAAGGATCTTCCAAAATATCTAACGAATTAGATTGCTCTAGGGACTGTGTTAATTCGCGAAACCATTTTCTTATTGATTTCTCGGTAATAATACTTCTTGCCTTTGAAAGACTTCTCTTAATAATAACTTTTTATGTCGATTGATAAAACCTTGTTACCATTTTTGACCCGGTTTATTCTGTTTAAAGGTATTTTTTTTTGTTTTTATCAGTAACAATTTTTTGCACAGTATTGAAGAGATCCTGCTTCTTTTGGGGAAATCCACATTTTGCAAGGTCGCCAAGCCAGTTTTCCAATGCATCTTCCTCGCTTTTTGTGAGAATTGTATCAGGTCCCATTTTGTGGGGCCCTTCCTTTACGCGTCCATGAAGTCTATCTTGTATGGTGCCTCTTGGTACTTCATACTTTCTGCTTGCTTCTCAAATGCCCAAGTTATCATTCCGAATTACTCTCAAAGCACTAGCAAGAGGGTCTTCAGTATATTTATGGACTTCACGACTCTTAATCCCGCTGCACAACAGCCCGGTAAGGAGAACGGGAACGGGAACCTAAACGGTAAAGGTGGAAGAGACTTAGCAAACACTATCTATCAACAGTGGTTTCTTAGTCTCTCCCACCTTTACTGTTCAGATTCCCGTTCCCGTTACCGGGCTATTGTGCAGCGGGCTTTATAACGACCCATATTGCCCTATGGATAAAAAATCACCCTGTATGACCAAAATACCTGAGTACTAAAACTTTTTTTATTGCCCTAGAGATAAAAAATCACTCTGTATGACAAAAATACCTACATAATAAGACTTTTTT